GGACGAGAGAGGGGGGGGGGTAATAGGTAATCCGGGCGTCCGATTTAAACTGTACAAAAACCGAGAAATTAGGCAAAAAATTGTGCTGTTTTCTCAATTTTCTTCACATTCTTTGCTCCCATTGTACCAGTAGACCAATTCTCCCTTCAAAATCACATTCTTTGTCACCACGTAAAGAAACTGATATTGTGAATTTGGGTAGCCTAGCTGAAAATGGACGTCCGAAAGGGGGGGGGGGGTCTTCGAAAACGGAGAGTGGTGGACAGAGGGGTAGGGGTGTATAGAGGGCAAAAAACAGCGGACGTACTTTATGGATGATCCCGAATGATACTAGGCGAAAGTAATGCTTCGTAATCTACAAAGCGTCAGCATATTTTGCAAGAATTTCAAAGCATGCCTAAAATGGGTGTTATATCCTACCTTTGTTCTTCCAGACTAAAGGCAGCATCCAGCCGTGAAGAAGTTGCCAAATGGGAACAAGGAGTAGAAGGTAGCCGTCCCTACACAAAGCACAAGATGATGAGCGACAGTCTATTAGAGGTTAGGTTACGTGTTGTTACATTTCACATATCTTAGAGCAGGCCCATACCTCCGCGGTATAGACTTTACTAAGGTTTATAATGAGTTGACTCAGTTGAGTCATTATCACTGAGGTAAAATTGTACCAATGTGATATGTCCGTGTACTAACCTAGACAACGACACCGGCACGATTTAGAGATGGTATAAACTTTCTTTTCCGAAGCAAAACTTTTCACAACAACTTTTTGACACAGTGATGCCACTCCACAGTAATCAGAAACCAATGTGTTCAACAAATTCTTCGAAACTTGGTTTGGCGAGAGCCAATGATCACAGATCCACTCGCGGCAAGGCAACAACACACAGTAGTCGCCTGCGTTGCGTTCTGCTCTGTTTGGGGACGGCGCTACGCCACGCCACCTCCTCCGAGCTACTTCCTTCTTCTTGTTCCTCAAAACACCAATCTATCTGCACTAGGGTCGGCTCACTTCAAGATCGCGGGTTGTTCTTCTTTCTCTCACGCAACACCGGTCTTCTCATGCGAAAAGAGACAGAGATAGCCACCCGCGGTCTCCTAAAATGGCCAGAGTAAGACAACCCCGACGTCTCCAAGCTCGGGTTGGGACCAATGTGGATGGGACGCACCGCGCACCAAAGGAGTTGAGGGGATGCTCGCTCGCCCTGCTCAACTGGAGCGTGCGAACGCATCGGTGTCTTGGGGTGTTTCAAGACTACGCCTAATATTTTATCGACTGAGCAAACGAGCTTCGAGTGTTGGTAGTCTATCAATCGCCCACTGTGCTCCCCCCCCCCCCCCCT